AGCCCACGGCCATCAGGGCCATGCTGGCCTGGGCGTCACGCCAGCTTTTTTTATTATGATTATTATTATTAGTATTATTATTTTTTCGCGACATGTACATTTCTAACAAAGTTTATCGTGGCTATCTATCTATGACGGTGTTTTATTTACCAATTCATATCAAATGCTCTTGTATCGAGTTCACGAAATCTAAGTAAACCTAGAGCAAAGTTTAAAGAAGAAGGAAAAAAAAAAAAAAAGAAGAAGAAAAAAAAAGAAAAAAAAAAAAAAAAAGAGAAAGCAAAGTAAACTATTTCAGGTTTTGTATACAACTGCCTGGGCCTGGCCTTTTTGTGGGGTCGGTGAGGGGCAGTGCGTGGGCTTGGTGGAGGGGTGCAGGGCAGGGCGAGAGGCTCAGAGTGGTGTCTGCCCTGTTCTGCTGCTCTCTCAGCGCAAGCAGGCACTGAGGAGCTGTGCTGAGCCTTTGCAAGCGTCCCCCCAGCACTAAGCCAGCACCTGGTCTGCTTGCAGCAGTCCCTTCCATCACCTCCAGATGTGGTCTTGGCTCCTACCCAGCACTGAAGGGCAGTTACTTGGTTTATGGTTATGACACACCCTGTGCTCCACCTGGACACGTCTGCCCTCTACCCACATCATTTGCAATCCTCAGGCAAACATACACACTCAGTACTCCCTGCTTCCTCCTCCCCTCTTGGAGGCCACCAGGTGCTGCAGCTTTGCCACTTTCACCCACTGCAAGGTCAGATAACTCGCACGCTTTGAGCCATTCATCCAGACTGACCCTCCAGTCAGTGGTGCTCTTTCCCATGTACTCCTCCCTTATCAGAAAAGACTGAACGTGATGCCATTGAAATGTGCAGCCAGTGCTGCTTCTGCAGTTCTCTTTCATAACACAACGTTGTTTGCATCCACCAACCCAGGCTGCTCCATAATTCTTGGCCCATGCTACGGGAACAGTGAAAGGAACTGACTGTGACCTGCAGAGAGCCATTCAATTGCCCATTATGGCAGCCCCAGAAGGCTCAAGGTTTGTGTTGCAAAGTCCCCTGCTTAGGCACTGTGGCTTCAACCCCATGACGTAGATGACGATGAGAGAATGGGATGATAACATGGCTCCTTTCACTGGCTGCATCTCTTCAAACAAACAGGCGTCTCTTGATGAATTTTTGTTGTAATTCCTTAAGAAAAACAGCAGGCCAAGTGTGCTGTTTGCTGATGGCTTCTTTTTTGGGGAGATTTTGCCTGTGTCTGTCCCAAGGTTGTCAGAGACTATGTGCAAAACTGGTGCCAGCTAGATGCTGTCAGCATTCAAACCAGGCAACCAGTGGTGCCACATGGTGGATGGGTTAAAGGTAGTGGATTCCAGGGCACGGCTCTGTGAATTCCGCTAAATTGAGAGATCTGAAAGAAGGCTGAAAATTTACTTTCAGCCAAGGGTTAGAATGACTTTTGGACAAGAACAGCATGGCAAGTATGTAAGGAGCCAGGGAGTGTTGCTGTAGGGAGTAGGGCACCAGCACCTCAATGAAAGCACCAAGAGAGGCAGCATTCTGAGTCTCTCGTTCTCTCTTTCAGCAGAGAAGGTCACACGTTGGCCATCAGCTCCTTACAAATTCACAGGCCAAAACAGTAATGCCTTGGATAGCCTGTTGAGTTTCTGGGACCTCCTTGCGTCGTCCTCACAGCGACATTTTGGACAGGAGGTTAAGGTGGCTCACGGTAATAGCACACGTTCTCCAGCTGGGGGAGTTCACAGTTCAGAAACAACCACAGCCCGTAAGGACCTGGCGCAACAAAACGCCGAGCACCTCTGCAGGCTCGGGGACACGCTGCCTGCTTACCAGGTTTCCTGCAGTGCTTCTGAGGATGCCCTGTGTCTCGATGCACGTGTACCACTCCCAGCAGCCCCAGGAGATCACCACAAGGCTCTGAGTCAGTCCACGCAGCTTCAGAAATGAGTGATATCGTAGCACAGCTGCAGATGAAAGGAACCTGGCATGCTGCTGCAGAGTTGCACCCTGTGGGTAATTTTGTGCTGACAGGACTGTTTTGCTGGCCTGTTGGGTTGCTGGGGACTTCTTGCTGTTCTCCTCTGGGCCAGTTGTGGCTTTTACAGTCTTGTCTCTAAGGCAACCATGTAACGGCTTGTTAAAAATCATCACTCCTATCTTCTCTTGCTAGTTCATAATGCTGTGTGGCCACGCCAGATCTCTTCCCTTTGCCTATGCATTTACACCCCAAATAGTCCGTTTCATCCAGCCAGATGCTTATGCATCAGCTGTCGGGGTGGGGTGTGCAGCTCTGCCTTGGCCTTCATGTGAACACTGTGATAGCAGCATCTCTGTCTCTGCAGGTGGGCTGCTGCCCCTGTGCAGGTGACACCATTCCCAAGCAACTCCTTCATCTCTTTGGGGCAAACTCCAGAGGGCTCCGCATTTAACCAATTCTCCTACACAATTATAATACATAAAAGTAGAACACATGCTAGATAATGGGGTCAGGCCTGCTTCACCATCTGACTGACTTGGTGCTTCCCATCCACATAGCAGCCTCATCCTCACAACAGAGGTAAAGCCTGTTCAGCTGCAGGCTGCATGCAGTACCTTCATGGGCCCCAGACCATCCCATCTCCCTTTGCCTTGTTCAGTGCCGAGCAAATGCTGCCCCAAACCAAAACTGCAAGTGATCCTATTCCTCCTAGCATCCAGCTCTACACACAGCAAGAACACACCTGGATCTCCTCACAGCCATCTGAGGCCACAGAGTGCTCCTGTGCATCCACATGTATTCTGACAAGGTTGTCTGAGGACATCTAGCAGCTCCGATAGCAGCACTGTGCTTAGTGTTGTGTTAGTGCTGTGTTTGACACTTCTGCAGTCAGGTGAAATATTCGTGGCTCACTTTGCCAACATGGAGCTAACTGCAGGAGAGATTGCTGCAGTAGATTTTACGTCTACCGTGTCTAGAAACTGAACGTCTGTTGATTCAATGTCCAGTGTGCAAAGGATGGCAGTACCAGGGAGGCAATTTCTGTACACAAAGGCACAGAGAAGCTGCTGGATGCTCCAGCTGAATGACTCCTAATAGCATTCAGGTTTCTGCACTTTCTGGCTTGAAACTGACAGGAATCATTTACAAACTGGCAGCGGGCAGAGGCCCACATCAGGCTGGCTGATTTATGTTCATCTTTCATCTCCAGCCCCGGCAGCTCTGAGCACACCACAGTGAGTGTGCTTGTTACTTCAACAGTGGCACGCTGCCATCCTGCAAGACAAAAGCTGTTCTTTCCATTAACATCTGACATGGATTTGTAGTACCCACCCTACAGAATTCACAGCATTTGTGTAAACAATTTTGAAGTTGTTCTCTGTATATCATGAGAGAAAGTCTGCTTCTCCTCTTCTCTTAAAAGTGTAATAATTATAATTAATTAAGATCTCCCTGTTTGCAGTCTGCCATGAAGATGCACTTAGAGGCTGATTTTTAGGTCACTGTTCTGTCAAACTTCACATACTTCTTTCCCCCAGCTAACTGTATTTACCAAACATTTGGCTCCATGGCCACTGCTCCAAACCTGGAGCTGCCAGCCCAAGTTTGCCTTCCTTTGGCTCTCCCTTTGCTTGCAGACCATATGCAAAGGAAATCTGCTCCTGAAAAGTGAGCCCTGCAGTCTTGCTTTCACGTTCAACTTCATCAAATTAATAATTAGCACTCACTTAAGTGACAAGGAGATACGTCTTAAAAGGCCTTGTGTTTACACTACTCTTTCATTTACTCTTTCAAAAGCTTTCTTTGGCAGCCAGAGGAAAGCATGATGCACCCTTCCTTGCAGAGGTCACTGGGCCATCTTGGTTCAGCTCTGGGCTGCAGCACAAGCTGTGCAGCTCATATCCCAGCGTTTGTCATCACACCTTGCCACTAGCTGAGAGAGGGCCAGAGCCCTGCTAGGGCCACAGCTCTGCTCACAGCCTCACAAAGCCCCTTGTCCCTTAAGGCCAGTGAACTGGGCCCATAATACTGCATGACTCCTCACACAGGGGAAGCTCTACAGGTGCTTCATGGTGGACTGACAACAATATTTAATCTGTTTCTCCTGGAACACCACAGCACCCCTTCTAACCCAGGTGTGCCACCAGCCATAACATGCTGGGATAACACCATCCAGTGATGTACAAGCAGAATGCTTGAGAGGTCCTTAACACAACAATGAAAGAGACAGTATATCAATGTCATGGGAGTCATTAGATAGATTAAGGGCCTCTCTCTCCATGCACAGCCAGGGAGGGCTTTCTTCAAATGGTGTCTGATATGCCTGTAGGTAAACCTCTCAAAACACAGTGGCATCATTTTTCTTACTGTACCTCCAGTTTGCAAGGCTAGATCTGTAATCACTTTGCTCGGGATACAAGCTGTACCCTGAGGAATAACAGCTGGATTAAAAGACTGCTGCCTCACAATAGCCCTTGGTGAAGGGAACAGAAAGCCACTGGATGGAGCAGCTCAGCTTTTACATACAGCTGGAGCCCTGCAGTAAGTTGCCTTTCTCTTCCCTGGTCCCTGGGACAGAGCACCTGAAAGGTGAAAGCCATGACAAGTGGCTCAGTTTCACCTTTTAGCTAGCTGTGTGGCTACAGCCTTGCTGGTCATGACTGATGTCATTCTGTTACTGCAGCTCCCAATTTACCACATCTGTAAGGGTACACAGCACTACTCCCATGGCTCATACAGCTAAACACCATGGAGCCTGGATGACCTGTCGCCTGCCCTGGTTGGACTCCCTGCACTTGCTGGTGCCAGCAGTTCTCCTCCAGTGACCATTCTTTCACTTTCCTTGCTAAACTCAGCAATTCTAACCACACAAGCACTTCATTTTATTACTGTCATAAAATATTTTGGTGGGTCAGTGTGGAAAACAAATACCGCCGCAGAATATGAAGTATCAGATGCCTCAGTCCACGGGAGGTAGAAAGGAAAAAGGGGTGAATGGTTCCTAGCAGCATTTATGCATGACTTTATTGGAGCAGACCATGAAATAGGACATAGAACAAGTAATACAATGAAAAGTGCAGTAATACTGTATGGTTTTACGTGTCCCTTGCCCAAAGTTACAGGCTGTAGCAGCTCCTTTCAACATACTTTCTTAATTCAAGTTCAGCAGCCTTCTTTCTCTTCCTGAAAATGTGCAAACCTTTAACATATCTCAAGGGATAATTCAAAACTCTCCCAGAGAACGAAATATTAATTAGAGAAAAGAATCTCACTGTAGCTCAGCACTGTGTGGCCTCTAGGAAGCAGAGGAGCCCAGACCTAAAGTGCCTCCTTTGTGTGGGGCTTTTGTTCCCCACATTCCACCCACTCCACACTGTCACAGCTGATAATACCTCAAAGTCCACTGAAAGAAAACTGTCATGGCTAAGTGTACCTTGGCTGCTTATAGAGAATATAAGCTATTAACGAGCTTGTTATTTTGAGCAGGATTTACACAAATTGTTCCCCATCCAGCATTTGGCATAAGCAGTGATGACAACTTTTCAACAGATGCTAGCATGGAGAGAACAAAGATGCTGTGGCTTCAGACCATCTGCAGGGATTAAGCCTTCATCAAGTGAGGTGACTTTTTTCTGCTCTTGAGACAAAAGAAACTTTTCTTTCCCTCTACCTAAACACTTCAGTTTCTCCAAGACACCATTTCATTGCCACACTCGTTCACCATGGCTCATCTATCAGAGAGTCATCTGCGAACCACTGATTTTTTTCCCCCCTCAAACATCCAGGCAGATCTGGATGCTCAATAATTCTTCAGCTGATCAGTGGTTGCAACTTTCTACTTGATCCTGTTTCAGGAAGGTTCTGGCTGCTCCTTAGGCCACCAGCACTGGAAGAAATCTGAACTAACCACAAATTTCCCAAGAAAGTGACCCCACTCAGCAATTCATTATGTGTGATTCTAGGCACCACTGCTTTTCTTAAGCTTCCAAGCTATGTCTAGAGTAAAATGAAAAGATAGATCACCCAGAACATTGTGATTCTTCATCATCTGTACAGTGTCACAAATACTATCTGAACAATTAACATCAGATAAGAAACTCTGATGCTTGTTTTCTGTATGCTTTGACTGGATACAGCAGCATATGAGGAATAAGCAACATCAGAGGGTCCCATTTTGTGATAGCAAGAACCACGCGGCTGGCAGCTTCCTTGACCCAAAGCCCACTAAGGTACGTGGTGATTTACCTTTTTATTTGATGTAGGGCATAACTTAGAAGCTTAAGAAAAGCTGTGACACTTAATGACAGAAAAGTAGTTAATATCAGTTTCAGGCCTTACTGCAGGTCCCACACCTCTCTCAAGAGCTGTCCCATGAACTGTTATGGCTGTCACCCAGGTGGTTACCCTTCTGCTGTGAGAGAGACACAAAGCACATTGATAAATCTCACATGTGATAGGGCAATGCGTGTTTTAAGAATCACATATCCACAAAAAAATCCACATAAAACTTTCCTACCATTTCTGTTATGAAGCACCCATACCTTGGTAATGTCAAAACAGACTTATAAGTGGGAGGCACATACAATCTTTGCCATTGCCACAGGAACATCATTTCATGCACAGCAGGAAATTTACAAGCAAAATAAAAGCTAAGATTGATTGGGAGAGGTGAAAGGAAGAATACTCACAGACTCTTCATTTGCAGGCTAGGACCACAAGGTGAGAGGCTGTTGGTATGGAGTAAGACAGGCCACAGTGAGAAAGGGCATAGATTTTCAGGTCAGAGGTTGGTTATCCTGCTACACCTGTGGAAATAAATGTGGATGTAAAGAGCAGACTCTGTTTCCACAGATTCTGCATTTGCTGTAAAAAAAAAAAATATCACTTACTGTTTGCCTAGTGCTATTGACATTGGAGGTCTGCACAGTGCTTGCTGCTCAACTTTCCTCCAGTCCCTCTGCAAGCCATTAAGGAACATTAATATGACTGTTGACTCACAATGCAGGTAGCCCCCTCTCCCAGTTCTTTGGCTGGTCTAATTAACTGGTACCTCACCAAACTAGAAAGCAAAACAGCCATTCCTAATCTATTCCTGACCTTCCTCCTCTATCTTTCTCATTCAACAACATCAATTCAACCATCACCCAACAAAAGCTTCATGAAATACTTTTTCCTGAGTTTTAACAATCTTAGCTTATTAAATGAGGAGCAGGGGAAAAAATAAACCCATAAAACCAATACAGCCAGGTGTAGCAATTGGACAGATCAACACAATGGGAAAGGCATTTCAACAGAGATGTGATGATGGAAGGACCAGCACAACAGAAAGGTGCTATAAAGGAAGGGAAGAAGATTGCTCACCCATATTGGAAGATTCCAGGCTCACAGGGAAAAGCTTCACCAAGAAGGGATCTCCAGGAAGAGATCCTTTCCCCCTGCCAGTCAGCCCTTAAATGAGGTCTAAGAGAGGTGCAGCCAGGCTCCACCCTTCCCTACCACACAGCTGAATTGCCTTCACCTGTGCTCCCAGGGCTGACCAGGTCCTTTCCCAGGTGCTCAATCAGGATTTGGACCGTGACTCAACAGTTCCCATACACCAGGGAATTTCTTTTTTATTCATGCTTGCCTCGCAGTAAACAAAAAATGTTACGAACCACTAATGGGACAATGTTAGCATGCCTCTTTCTGTCTCTTTAAATGGATATTCTTGGACTTTGGAGGACTGACTATAAGCCAAAGAGCATCTGCTCCCAGTTTTGTCTCTAAAGTGCAGTCATGGTGGGTGCACCTCAATAGCGTGCTCTCCTTTGCAGCAACACTGGCTGGGAGGAGAGGGGAGACGGGGTTTAAGGGAGAAGAAGCCCTCAGGTGAGCTCATCATAATCATTTCTTGGAGCTCTTTGCTTAGCTCTGTTTGGCCTTTGACAAGTAGCGACCATGTATACCTCATTCGCTGTGAACTGACACACACCCACCAGGACACGGAACACAGAGCCCTTCCAGATGTGTCCTGAGTGTCCTGTGCCTGCAAGGAGGAGCACAACAGACACTGCGTGCACAAGTAAGGGGCTGCATGAGAAGCAGAGATTTCTGAGCATGTCTTTTGGATATCTTCTATCTCACAGCTTGCTCACAATGATACATACGTCAAAGACTGAAAATTGAGGCTGTCTGACCCCAATCTCCCAGACCTCTGAAAATGGTTGTGTCTTCTTATATCATTCTTGTATCACCGGTCAACAGTGATCTTGAATTTCTTTTTTTTTTTTTTCCTAATAATATATTTTATTTACCAGCAGTGAGCATTATGCCTCATAATACATTGTCCTACATAACCCAATCCCCTTTTAAAATGGAATAACAGAGTTTGAAAGAAAACATGACTTAGAAGATTAAGAGGTAGGATCAGAAGTAAGCCACCTGTCAGACAGGATAAGAACACATGATTTTTTTCCTTTGGATTTAAGCAGTCATTTAAATGTAATAGTCATATGTTTTAGTGTTCGCTATAAGGTCTAATTTTAAAGAATTTGTGCAAAATAAATGAGCGTCTCCCATTTACAGCCATATTTTCAGCTATTATCTCCTTCACTGCTCTAGCCAATAACAAGGAACCAGCCTCTATTATACTTATCCCTTGTCAGCAGCAATTTATTTATATGCAGACATCCAGGGAAATGTCTTTCTCAGACCGATCTCTATGCTGGCCCTGAACAGCCATCAAGCACTGAGCCAGGTGAAGCCCTCCAGATGCACACGTCTGTCTCAGGAATCCCCATTAATCGCAGTACGTGTGCGGGTACAGACTTGCACAGGCCTGATGAACAGACTGTTATTCCAAGAGATCAGCAGACGGGTGTATTCCTTATATATGTGTGTGTGTGTATGTATACATACATATATGTATGCATGGTACAAAAAACAAACTAACCCTAGACATAATAATGACTAAAGCCATACTTCACATTATTATTCGTTGTTATTGCTATTAAATGGCTCTTACACAGCCCTACAGTACTTTGGATCTTAATCGCCTTTTGTGGTATAAAATGGTCCAAACAGCTGCTAAACGGAACAAAAGTGTAATCCATCAGTATCGATTAGAACAAACATAAACATCCCATTTCCTTGCAGACAAACGTGGCACAGCCTGAGCAGCATGCTCCAGCCGTCAGAAGGTCCCTGAGCTCCAACAGCGAGGACAAGTGGGGTGCCTGCCTGCTCCAGGCACATGGCACAGCTGAAGGGAGTTCTGAGGAGTGGGGATGTGGCAGGCTGGGAGAGGCTGGGGGCCCACAGCTTCACCAGTGTCCCGGCCTTTGTGCTTTCTGGAGCTGGAGGCTGGCAAAGGGCAGTCTGTGAGCTGCACTGAGCCAAGCTTGCAGGGCTGGCAGTTTCTCGTTCTGCTAGGCACATCCCGGCTCCCCACCAGCTGTGGCACGGGTGCAGGTGGCTGGGAAATGCCCATGGCTGGAGGAAGAGGCTGACTGAGAAAGTCTGGCTTTGTGAACCAGAAATGCTTTGTCTGATTGAATTTGAAACTTATAAACCTGAAACCAATCAGAAAAATGTTTCTTCCTTTGAAATGCACAGCTATTTAGAACAAGTACACATTGCTGTTCAGCTCAGGTTCCACGGAAAGCAGGCTCGCATCACTCCATGCCTCCCACCTGGCAGGTTGGGCTGGGATAGATGGGATCCTACTCACCAGTCCTACGTATGCTGCAGCTTCACGCTGAATAACCTACAGAAGGCTGGAGAGTCAAGCACTTAGTGGGCAATTTGTGCTGACTAAATGTACATAGAAGTGCATGGCATGATGCTGTTTGTGCAACCATGGCAAGGACAGAGTCCCCAGTGCAACACTAGGGAGGAAAAGACCAACCACTCATCATAGTCAAGACAGCAAGACAATGTCTGATGGGGAAAAGAAAGGGGGAAGGGAGGAAAGAAAAAGTGATGGATCTAGAAAGGACATCATATCTTCACCAATGGATAACTGTTACTGCTGTCAGCCACCGCTTTGCTATCTTCCATCTTCCTCAAGTGCATAGCTATGGATGGACTGAATGGCATGTGCTTTCTCCAGACCTTGTGGTTGCTGAAGTGATCACAGAAATGAGCACGGGTTCATCCTGATGGACATTTGGCACACTGGGACTCCCTGCGTGACTTGTGCTTTGCCACCAATTCCAGCTGAGGTGTAAGAAGTTTCTGTGTCTGATCTGTCTCCTGTAGAAGTAGGAAGTGCACACTGGGTCTCAGTGTACAGCCAGCTGTGCTTCAGGCAAGTGCTGGAGGCACTGGCGTTGGCAGACAGCTATGGCATGCTGAAGAAATCCCCCGATGTACACCAATGGTAATATTACACTTTTGAGTCTGGGACTCTATGCGAGTTCCTCTTATCCAAACTTTCAGGGTCTAAATGTTCCTCTGCAACAATTATCAACAACATGGCTTTGTTAAAAGCTAGAAGATTTTTAGCATATCACAAGTGCATGCAAAAAGGCCACGTGCTTTTAGCTACCATCACTCCAGACTCTGAGTCTCATTTGAATGCGATCTGCTGTGTGAATGTGTAATTGGAAAAACATGGCCAAATATGTCTGTGTACACAGGCACACAAGAAAAGCAGTTTTCATTAAACAGCACTAAACATGGAAACATATGCCAGAAGATTTAAATCACAGAAGTTTCCTCTGATTTACTGCAGGGATGACCTGGCCCTGGTGTACAGAATGGTGCCCTATGGGGCTACTCGCCTGCAGCACCTGCACCTCCAAGCAAAGAGATGCAGTCAGAGAGGAGAGGTGGGCTGCAGGCTGGGAGAGACAATGGGGCCCTTTGGATCTTCACTGTCCGGGTATTAGGAGGTCACTGTGCCGACAATGGCAACACAGCCAGAGGCTGAGTGGTTCACCTCCCACAGTCAGTGACCAGGGTGAAGGGGGTAAGTAATGCCTCAGGCTTGGGGAAGGGGAGCACAACACCCAGAATGTGTCTCTGTTTCCTCTCCACAGTTGTTCCTTTGCTACTAGGCCTTTATCAAGTGTTCGTGTTCACATAGCAGAGCCCTTTGCTGGTCAGAACATGAGCCGCACATTCCCCACCCTCCATTTAAAAAGCATGGGAGCAGCAGCTCTGGCAGCAGAACTCACCATGGCAAAGCATCAGCCAGCCATCGCTGATGGGAAGAATAATGGATAGGACAGACTGACAGCCTTCCTGAGGTCAGCTGGGATGTGCAAACACTGCATGGAGCGCGGGCAGGCCAGGTGCTGCACAGAGAGTCGCTTCCAAACCCTGGCTTGTGCACGTACCACTCCGATCCTGGCAATCAGCTCAGCCCCATGTAAGTGATTAAACTATGTCTAATCCCATCTGTTTGCCCTCAGTGCGGTGCATGTCTTCCCCCTGCCCTGGGCCTGCCAAGCTGAATGTATTTCTGAAGCAGAGGTGCCATGCCGCCGCTCAGTGCAACGCATCCTGTTTATAGAATAAGAGAATTAGCCAATCTGTGTGTTTATGCATGAGGTTAGCTGGCCTGCTGCTGTAATGGGAGTGCAAAGAGCATGGTTTCAGTTTGTAATGTATTTAACGTGTTTGTTTTGAGCCTGAATTACCAGACTTTTCTGCAAGGAAAAAAGAGAATTGTTTTTAGGAGGCCTCTGTAACACGAACCCCAAAATGAGGTGTGTCCTTTAAACATATCATGTGACTGGCCAAGGTGCACGCGTGGCACTCGAAAGACAATTTGTAGTTTATGTGACAGAGGAGCTTTGAATTCGAAGCTGTTTGCTCATGAGCTCTGCATGCCTTGCAGGTGTATGGCAGGAGCCAGCCATGCGCTCACCCCTTGCTGCAGGCTTGGGTTCCATGCACATCGCACAGCACATCCAAGGGACACAAGCAGAGCAAGCTGCGGTGGTGTGGAGAGACCCCAGTGTGCTGGAGGTTGTGTTTCACCCTGAAAAGAAGCACGTGAAGAAATGGAAAAGAAAATTATCCTCTGAATGGTTTTAGGATCAGCCTCTGCCTTGCTATCACTCATTCCAAAAATAGACTCCTCCTAAATGTGTACAGTCGTCATTCTTTTTATTTTCTTTTATTCTTTTCCACCATTTGCACACTCGATAGTTGTTCACGAGTGGTTCTGTTGCACTCAGCCAATGCTCCTATAGCAGGCAGTGCAAGGGGAGAGCAGAGCCTTCCAGCCATTGCTCTTCAGGCTCAGCAGGAGTAGCAGCAGCTCAGCTGTATGTCCTGGGAGGGAAATGGCTCCAGAGCTGCTCAGGCCAACCTTGGGGACCTCAGCAAAATTACGAGTGCCCTATGGAGCCCAGTGGCACAATGGGAGCAACATGGGCAGTGCTGTGGAGAAAGAAGGGAACATACAGCCCATGCAGGGACAAATACGTGCTTCATAT